TTTGGAGGCACAAAATATGGTAACCCTAGCAGAGCCTCCCCGGCCACCCATGCATCTAGGGGCTGCAGGGAACGGGACCCTGCACCTGAACCCCCTCCCGCACCCCAACCCCATCCCAGAGTCCCCTCCTGCACCCCAAACCCTTCATCCTTGGTCCCACCCCAGAGCCCACATCCCCAGCCACCTGCCCCAGCCCGGAGCACCCTCTTGCATCCCAAACCCCTCATCCCTGGCCCCACCCCAGAGCCTGCACCCCCAGCCGGATTCCTCACCTCCCCCCCCACTCCTAACCCCCTGCCTCAGCCTGGAGCCCTCTCCCACACCCTGAACCCCTCATTTCTGGCCCTACTTGGAGCCCGCTCCCCCAGCCCAGAGCCCATACTCCCCCCGCACCCCAACCATCTGCCCCAGCCCAGAGCCCTCTCCTGCACCCCAACCTCTCATCCCCAGCCCCATCCCAGAGCCCGCATCCCCAGCTGGAGCCCTCACCCTCTTCCCGCAACCCAACCTCCTGCCCCAGCCTGGTGAAAGTGAGTGAGGGCGGGGGAGAGCAAGTGGGGCCTTGGAGTAGGGGAGGAGATGGGGCAGGCACCTCGGGGGAGGTGTTGGGGCAGGGGTGTTCAGTTTTGTGCCATTAGAAACTTGACAACCCTAGGACAGGTCTTCTCCTTGGGCTGCTTTTCTGGTTTTCTTTGGCTCTGGCCAGCACAGCTAGGCTCCCCAGGTCCTTCTCTCTCCTTAGCTCAGCTCCACTGTGGCCCAGGGGCAGTTCCAGCTCACACAGAGGATGGGATCCCCCTGCCTCCTGACTCCCTCATTAGCCTGCCCTTGCTGTCAATCACTCTGATCTGGAGCACTGACCTCTCCCCATTGCCCCTGAGGACTGTCAGTCTCCTGATTTCCCCATTGACCCTTCCCCTTTCTTTTGGTACTGGAAGCTAGTTAACCAAAAAAAAAACCCCCCACTAAGTTTTAGTAAGGAGCCAACAGTCCACTTACAAATAAAAATAACCACCCAAATTATACTTTTAGAAAGAAGAATTTGGTAAATGTCTGGGCTAATTTACAGTTGACTTTAGCCTGTTTCAAGGTAAAGCACAAGGTTCCTCCTGTCTGGTTTATCTGCATATACCTCTCTGTGAGGTAGCTGCCTCCTCTGGATCATGCAGGACTGCTGACCTGCCACAAGCCTCTGTGAGGTCACTGCCCCCATGCTCTGTATTCTGTGGGACAGCTTGCCTCTGATAGGAGCAGTTCACAGAGATGAGCACCCTCTTCTCCCTTCTCTTTCCCCAGTGGATTTGTCTTTCCTTCTTTCCCACCGTTGTCAAGGAAATGTAGAAAGGTGAATGAAAATTTTTTGTCTTTACATGTTAATAATTTTTACTGGGGATTTCCTAATGGTTTATGGTGGTTTGTCCCCTCCGGATATAGATTGCTAGGTGTGTGTCTGTAGGTCCTCCCAATGCCCTTTTGCTGAATGGATCAGACAAACTGAAGTGTACACAACTGCATTGTCTTCTAGTGCTGCAGCCTACAGAGACCTAGGAAAGGGAAGGACAAGGGGGAAAGGGGAAGAGGGATATAAAGAGAAGGAGGGGAGATAGAAGGAGAAGAAAAGATTAAAAAATGGAAAAAGAGAATGGGAAGGGGATGAAAAGAGGAGAAGGAGCTACTCTGTTATCTCCCCAATATAGTAGTTTTTCACGGATATGAGGTAGTTATTACTATTATAGAAAACCACTGCTAAGTATTAATGAATATTTCTGAATTGTTTAGTCACAATATCATATTTGTGGAATATGAAAAGATGGACCTGTGTACAGCCCTGGAATCTTCTTCTGAGCATATGCACAATGTGCCTCAGGTGGCATGTGACCAGATTTCATCACCAAATTTGGTCTGCTGTTTGGATCATTAACTTCCCTGGCCCAAGCCAGGTAATGATGGGGAGCATGAGATGAACACTGATCTATGAATGATAATCTATATATGCAGAGTAATTTATATATGGCATCCTATAATAGAAATTGTAATCTTTCTTTTAGTAAGCACTGTGAATTATATAGATCTGGTTTGATTTTTGAGATGGAAGGAACACATACATATGGACTAAATCAGCCACACACAGGGAGGAGAACTCTCAAAACCTATAATGTATATTTCTAATTCATTTTAAATTACAATTTTTCTGCAAAAAACAAAGCAGAGAATCAAATCACAGCATGTCAGAGAGAGAGAGAGAGAGAGAGAGAGAATACAAATAAATTTTTTTACTCTAGCCTTTTGTTTACAAAGTATGCGAGTTAAGGACATTTAAATTTTGTGCTATTCCTATAATGATGTATGAAACTCAGAATTGTATTGAACAAGCCCTCTGTATGCTCACATCACTAGCACTTTAAAGGAAAATAAAATAAAATAGCATAACAAGTCCTATGATTTATAGGCCAACAATCCTGCAAACACTTTTGCATGTAGTCCCAATGACCCTAATGGGACTACATATGTACACAAGGTTAATTCATGTGTGTTTATAGGAGCAGGGCCATAATGAGGATACAAAAAGTTATTAAGAGATACTGTAAATAAAGCCCCTGAATACTAGAGACAACTTCTCTTAACTATAGTGTTTAGGGAATTTTCCAAACCACAAATCTGTCAGGATTAGAATTTATTTTAAGATGGGCACTGGATGGTTCCACCAATCTGGTACAATAGTTACAGGAAATAGCAGTTAAATATTCCTTGATCTTCCCCTATAAAGGTTACTGAAAAAGATTAGATTCTACATTAGAAAAGATTTGCCAATATAGTTACAGCAGCAAACCCTCCTACTGTAGATGCATCTTATTTCAGCAAAAACATTTATTTTATTTTATTTTATTTTATTTTATTTTATTGCCAGTATAACTACATCTCCACTAGGGTTCTTGTGGTATAGAAATGTCATTTAAAAATCATGTCCCTAACTGACATTACTAATCCAGCAAAAGTGTCTAATGTAAACCTGGCCTTTTTCCAAACTGTAGAAATTATTGATAGTTATGATGGTGATTTTTGTACTTCGAGCATTTGGAAGTGGATTGGAAATAACCAACTTGGTTCACATAAGCTACCAGACCTCTGGAGCAGGTACTGTCATACACTACCTACTTGGAGTGGGCTTGAACCAATTACCTATTGGTATATTTCTGTGCTAATCTCCTGAGCCATCAAGGCCCCCATTTCCATGGCTATCTTATGTGCTGCTAAAAAAGAAGTAAGAGCGCTCACTCTACCATAAAGAATCAGAAAAGTTAGTATAAGCATAATTAGTGTGGTCATTGTGACAGCCAGAGAGAACATTAAAAGCCATTCATTTAATTTTACATTTCACCATAGAAGTTACTTCAGTTATGGCATGCTGATATTTTTCTGAGGCTGCCTTAAATTCGGCCAGATGCTCCTCATAACTTTTAACAATTGCCAGAAGTTGATCCCTCTCGACTGCTCCCAGGATGGCCTGGAGGATCACGTCAATACCCAGCCCAAGAATGGCAATGCCAATACCTCCAAGAACAGAAGCACCAATCTGGGCTAGCAGAGTGACCAGCTTGTTAACAGCAACAATTATAACTTTTGAGCCGACTAGTTTTACAGCTACCATACCAGCAATGGAAGTAGCTTCTCCTAGAACAATCGAAAAAACTTTGTGTGCTATTGCAATTTTCTCCACCTCTGGCTCTTTGATATCATAAAGCTTTTGGTACAGCATTGGCTCCAGCATTTCCTTCATTTCTTTGTCAATCTTCCATACTTCCCGTTGGATCTCACTCATGGCTTGGATGATAATGTCACAGTTTTCCTTGATGGTGCCACCCTTTTCCATCTTAATCTGGGCAATTGTGCACCCCAAGTGTGCATTCAGTACTGCAATCAGTTCATCTGTGGCATGGAAATTAACCAACATGCAGTCCAGCAGCTCCTGGTGCAAACGGATCACTTCTTGACGTCTCTTCGGGTTATCTGGGTAGAGGAGGTCACTCAGAGCCATTCTTCAGAGAAGAGCAGCAGAGAGAGGAAAAATAAGGTTTGTTACCCATCTTTAAAACCCAGAACACTGAAAGGGGACTGGATTGCATTGGGAACTGGGATACAGAGCCTCTAGGTCAGTGATTCACTTTAGACCCAACAAGTCAAATCCAGAGGTGTGACTCAGTATGTCTTGAAGTAGTCTTAAGACGACATCATTTGCAACTTCTGTATCTGTCCAACATATACATTACACCAGCATAGACTCCTAAAACTTGTACCTGCTTAGCATTGTGAACTGACATCACCCTTGAATTTAGTCCAATAAATGAATCTGAGTGACTGCAAGGGAATTCGAGTAGGTGTAAATCATTCCACCAATGGTCTAGAAGAGAGGGGAGTAGCAAGAAAAGCAGCTCACAGATCAGTGTTGGCACATGTTTAAGGTAAAATAGACTAGTCCCTCCTGTAGCATATACCTTCTTCTGGTTCTTTGGTCCATAAATTAAACTGACTTGACCCCCTTACACTTACTCACATATTAGCAAGTTGGTATAAAATAAGTCTAAGGGAATCTGAGAAAGTCAAAGTCAAAAACATGTTCTACACACAGTTTTTGTAACAATATAATAATTTCACATTACCAAAATATTATGACAGTAAAACCACTAGTGTGGACATAATTATACCAGTATAGTTAGGCTTGGCAGGATTGGATAACAATGAATAGATGGGTGCTAAACATTTATTTCAGCTGACACACTGAAATCAACAAAAAATAGCCATTGGTAACAGCACAAGTGCAGCCTTCCCTCCCCCCACCCTATGGCCCCAGGGATCAGGTGTGATTGGCTCTGTGGCAGTGAAGAGAGCCCTTTGCAGTCCCGCTGTCCCGGCCCTGCTGTCACACCAGCTGGAAGTGCTGGGTCTGGGGGTCTCTTCTCTGTCCCAACAGGCCTGCAGCCTTTCCTGCACCTAGCCTTTCCAGGATTCGGGTGTCACGGGTCCTGTAGCAGCAAAGGGAGCCCTCTGCAGCCCTGCTATCAGGGTTCCCTGCATGGCTTCGGGGCAGGTGTCAGTAACACCCAATCCATGCAGTCACACAGTGTGAAGAAGACTGCGGTTCTGGCGGGACAGAGCAGAGAGTCCCAGCCAGACCTGCAAGGAGGAGGAGGAGGAGTTGCCCCCCAAGTTCCCATCCCATGCAGGAGCCATTCAGCGGCAGGTGGCCTCCCCCACACAGCTGAGAGCTCATCCTCCTCTTTGCGGCCCTGGCCAATGGTCTCTGCTCTGCCCTGCCAGGACTACAGCCTTCCCCGCACTTTGCGCCTACAGCGATCAGGTGTCACTGGCCTCACAGCCGGTCATAGAGGGAGCACTCTGCAGCCCTGCTGTCATGGCCCCACTCACTCACCAGCCAGGAGTGCAGAGGTTATCCGGGCAGGAACTGTCCTGCAGCACCCTGTGGCTTGGGCCTTGTCCTCCTTGCAGGGCCAGGAATCTCTGCTCTGGCTGGCCAGGACCACAGCATCCCCCACACCATATGCACAGGTGTATTGGGCCCCTCAACTGCGCAGGGAGCCCCCTGCTGTCAGCACTGCCCTCATCCCAACCCTATCCCCCCTTAATTCCTGTAACTAAGAATAAACATTTTTTGGAAAAATAAAAGTTATTGTTGAAATTGAAAAAAAAATTGAATTTTGCAGAGCCTAAGTATTCCTGTTCCCATAGGGGAATAAGTAATCCTGGAATAAGCATCTTTATACCAGTATTAGCCACAGTAGGGGGATGTATGGCTTTAACTATACCAGAATATTTAATATGGTGTGTGTAGCCAAGGCCTAACTTATACCACCTTACACATCACCTAATATATCTCACTGTATTTTTGTCCTGATATTTAACCTAAATGTTCACTTTCTTAATTTGATCTCAGTATTCCTGTTTATTTCCCTATCACCACAGAAATTTTCTCCATACATCATATATCTGAAGATGATTATCTTGTCCCAAATTTATAGTTAGCGCATGCCATTTAGGCACTGTCCATATTAAGGGGTGATGCTTAACTGCACTGCCCTAGTTGGAGCACCAGGAGGCATCCTGCCTCAGAGATAAAATCTCTCTCTGAACAACCCTGGGCACACAGAGAGAACACATCCACTTCCACACCCTTTTGTGGTAGTGACCTTGTCCCTGTTGTGTGTCAGTCCTGCTCCAGTGCAATTGGTGGGAAGACTATAGCCCCATCTCCTCTCACACTTCTTTTGGGAATGCTGTGTGCCTGGGAAAGTAGGAACTGAGCAGACACTGCTCCCCTGACTGCAAGGTCTGCAATTCTACCTGAGTGCACAGGCTGCTTACATTGGCCTAACCACTGTAAAGGCTAGGCAGAATCTGGCTCTTAGTTATCACTTAACCAAGCTGTAATATATCATTTTAGCTCTTTCAATCTTTCCCTACAGGCTCCCCCCTAATAATTTGTGTTGTTCTTGTCTAAACAGTCTCCGGTTTGTCACTATTTTTCTAGCACTGAAGCATGGAAAAGGGAGTATTATTCCCCTGCTCCAGGACATGTTGCCTTTTTATATGCAGCCTAACATTTCTTGGCCTTTTTTGCTTCTGTGTTACATTAACAAATCATCCCTAGTGTGCTATTCACCTTCATCCCTGGGTGTATAGGTTTGTGTGTTCATATTATCCTCCTTCTCATTGACAATCTGGGTTTGGGGTTATTTTTGTGTACTAGCCTGCCTTTTTCCAAGATAAGTCTCATTTTGTTATTGGTGCTTAGGTAATACAACGATAGGCATCTCAGAAATATCTAAGATATGGTAGATCAGATAGCTATTTCTACTATTAGGATCCTTCATATCATTTGTCTGTCCTTACTAGTTTTTGCAACACTTGCCAATTTAGAATCAGCTGTCACCTACCTGGTGGTACTCCACTAGACACCACTCCCTTCCACAGCAGATGCATTGCTATATATAATTTTTTGAGTCGTCCTTCAACCAGCCTTCAATCCAAGTGACCGTGCTCAGCCACAAGCCAATTGGAATTTATATAATTAGTAACATTGTGTGGAAAATGTACATTGATTTATGAAAATCCAAATATATTACATCTACTGCATTTCCTTCACACGCTTCTTTTGAAATTCTCTCTCTCAAAAAAAATTGGGCAATCACTTCAACTCATGCTTCTTTTTCCTTTCAGGATGGAGGAGGTATTGTTCATGTACACTAAGAGTTTATGATTTTGATGAAAAGCCGTGAACTGAACTGAAACAAAACCTTGTGAAAGCAGGTATGATTCCTTATCAATTGTACCTAAGGAAAATAGAGAGCAGGCTTCTTTCTGACTCAGAGTGGTATTTGGGTCCTTTCCCTCTAATGAGTTCTCTGTTAAATGTTGTTGGTTAGTACTGTATTGTGGAAATTTAGAGAGGATGAAATGTGCTGAATGGAGTGCAACTTTTGTGAATGTCATTAGTATAATAGAAATGTAAGAGATGGAAGAGGCCTATTAGTTCATATTCTTTATCGCTGGCCAATCTAGGATTATTTCAGTTTATCCTATTATACCTCTTCTGAACATCATAAGCCTCTCTCTCTTTGGCATTGACACTTTTCAGATGATGTTATATTACTTCTATAGTCAAATAGCCAAGCTGTCCATATATATTTATTTAAATCTTTGTGCATACTGTAAGTCAGCCTCTGCAGCCCAACAGAAATATTTTTAAGGGATTCTACACAGTAAATCATAAAGGCTACCTACCTGCTTTTTAGTCAGAGCTCTGTAATCAGCTGTAGGTGTGCAGGACAGTGAATTCTCTTTTCACTGGATTTCTCTGGCTGTTTCTGATGGAATGTGATGACCTAGGTCTGCAGGGATTGTTGCTTCAGTTGGGTCCTGTTGCCTGCCTGGTTTGTAGATTATTTTAGTGTAACGCTGCTCTCTGGACTCTATACCCAGCCTCAGCTCATTGTTTCTCCGTCCCCCTTTCAATTTTAAAATTGTTTAGTTTATTTCATGTTGGTAAAATAATTTGATTCACAACCCTAGAACCTGTAGCCTTCTGTTTATGGAAGGAACAGGTACAGTACAAATCCATATGCGTCTAATACTTGTTCCATCAAAAATATTTCTAAAAATATATACTTCATAAACTTGAGTGCCCGCCAAACATAATCACAAACAGCTAAATGTTGCTATAGCTGTAAATTTGTGAATTCCAAAAGAAAAGTCATGGGCAGTCCAACACAAATAGAAGAGTATATACCACAACATATCTGCTTGGTAGTACAAGCTTCTGTCACAGCAGGGCAGTCTGTACTCCAACACTAATCCCATTTAAACTCCATGCTGGGAGTCACACAAAAAGACAGACTCAGTCCCGTGCATCATACTTGGGGTAGGGGGACCTCTGGCATGTCAGATGCAATCACCAGGGCCACACCAACTGATAGACCCTTCCTCAAATCAAAATGGATACATTCTGAGAATGACAGGAAAAGCTCTGTTCTACTGCCAGGTGGGGAAAGGTTAATCCATAATTTCCGGTTTGGTTTTCTTCTGAATGATGAGACATTGGTTCAATACAGAATCAGGGCACAAAATTCCTCTTGACTTTAGACTTTTGGGTGTGCAAGAAATAGGCACAGAGAGAAAATTCTAACTACATAAGCACTAATTTTGTGCAACATTCTGATTTTTGTTTTATTTTAAAATCTCCCCTTCAAGTACTGACCAGGGTCATCTAGTTTAGATTGCAAGACCCTAGTGGATAGGGGTGCAGGAATGTGCCTTTTTGTCTCTCACTGATATGGAGCTACCATCACCTAAGCTTTGTTCCCTTTAAGCATTCATTCAGTTTGTGCAGGGCTTCCTGCCAAATTCAACTCCTTGATACTACATCCATAAGGCTTCTGGTCAGTGCTAATCCTTTTGTTCTGGAGTCTTCATGTTCATAGAATCACAGAATATCAGGGTTGGAAGGGACCTCAGGAGGTCATCTAGTCCAACCCTCTGCTCAAAGCAGGATTAATCCCCAGACAGATTTTTGCCCTAGATCCCTAAATGACCTCCTCAAGGATTGAACTCACAACCCTGCATTTAGCAGGCCAGTGCTCAAACCATTGAGCTATCCTTCCCCCCATTATAGGTTAGAATGTGATTGGCAATCATTTAACAAGAAACGAACAGTTATTCCTCCATGTACATTAGGAAATACCATATTTGTAAATATTTTAAAATTTGTTTAATATTTAAAAATATTTTCTTTCTTATAAATCCCACATGCCAGCCACTGATGCAGTGCTTGGAATTCTTCTTGGTTTCCATTTTATTACCATTAGTTCTTTAGTCATTATTAGAACTTATATTATCTTACAGAAGTACATAACACGTTTCAGGCCTGATTCTGCTCCTACTGAAGTCAAAGGGAAATTTGCAACTGATTTAAAAGGAAGCAGAGTTGAGCCCTTCTTGAGCAGGAAATACACATCCAACAATCCTTCTGGCCTTTTGAGATAGATCAAAAATAGTGCTGGAGAAACCTCATAAAATTGTCATTTCTTTTCAATTTAGATGCTTATCTGAACTGTATTAGTCTAAAAATCAGACTGGGAATGTGAAGAGAACACAGAGTTTCTTGGGAGATAACTGGTGGTTTCTACTGGGATACAGAACACACAAATTGTCTTTCTCATGGTTTTTCAGAACTTCCACTTACAGCCCAAACCAGGAAATTCAGGGATGCCTGACTTTTTTGTTTAAAGAATGTTAATCACAACTCTTTCAGAGCACTTGAGTTTGGGGGAAAGATTTAGTCTGGCTTGCCCATCACTAATCTTTTTTGTTGACATCTCAGTGCACCAGAGGGGGGGGGATCTAGCACTTGAAAAGGAGCTAACAGAGGTAGAGAAACTCTTACTCTTCACCACCCCTGTGCAAGAAGTAGGGCAGAGTTTCTCCCTAGCAGTCAAAAGAATGATAAAATGAAAGCCCAATCAGTGAGTTTGCTTGTGCCTCAACCTACCAAGAGCTGTGGAATGCTGGCTAAGCGATGTGTATATAACCTTAGTTGGATATCAGGATTACAGCATTCAGCAACACGTGCATGCTGAGAAGATGCTCACTGCTCCAGAATAAGGAAGAAATAGTGTACCTGACTCCCAGTCCTGAGTCATTCTGGCCTGTAACTGAAGAATGGCCCTTATGGACCGAGTACCCTTCTGCTTCCTCCACAGAGGACCGTGCTTTAATTTTGTGTGGCACACACAGTATATACATACGGGAAAAAATATTAGATTTAGCCAAAACAATTACATCTAGTAAGGGTGAAGACAGGTATATTAGTTCCCAAAGACTAATAGTAAATCTAACAATAAATAGCTAAGCTGTCCTTCCTCAAGAGGAATGTTCTCATTCCTACTCTTAATTCCACTGTTCTGCTTACACTTAAAGGGTCAGATTCATTCCAAGTGTAAGCACCAAAATCAGTGGCGTTGCACCTGCTTACATCAGTTCTACATTTGACCCAGAAAATAAGACACATGAACTGTAGAGGCTAATGGAGGATACACTATTTAGGAGGAGTTGTACTATAGTTCTGGTTTGAAAAAAAAACTGTATGGTATTATTACTGGAGATTTACAGCTCAGGATACAAGTACTGTACCTCTTAGATTCCTCACCTGTGTCTTTTGATTTGTTTTTCAGTGTCAAATCTCTTCTCTGGAAATGTTGTCCGTCTTTGGTGCAGAGAGAGATAAACAAAGGGTGCTCGCAGCCAGCCAGACTCTGTATGATTTCATATACATATATGTCTCTTCCACCAATACAATATTTCGAATCCTCAATCAGCACCTTGGCACCAGCTTCCCCATCATTACCGTGAAGGAAAACCTCAGCATTAAGGAGAACCTTCAGCTCCTGATCAGTACTCTGAAAGAGATGCAGGCTGTTGTGGAAATGAAAGACAAAGATGTGCAGCAGAGCATCAGCCAGCGTTTATATGCTAAGATTGCTGGGCCCATCACTTCTCTGCAAGAGAAGATTACTGTTGTGAAGGACCTTTATGAAAATTATAAGGGAATCCTAGGAAGTATCAGTGGTCCAATCGCTGCTGTGCTACTGAAACACAGCAATCTCCCTGAGTCTGTAGAGTCTGCTATTCATCATCTAGTGACTTCCCCTGCCCTGTCCCTCCAAGTGGCTGACCTTCTCATGGGCCACAATGAAATTGTCAAAATATTCCCAACTGTCACTGAGAACAGCCCTTCAGGGAGTAGGATTCAAGAAGCTAGACCTCGCAGTCCATCAATTGCCTTCTCAATTTCCAATTTCTTGCAGGCTGTCCTTTGGGGACAGGCTTCTACAAACACCCTGAAAATAGCTGCAGACTATCTCGAGGAGGCTGTCAGAGTGCTGAGACCATCTTGTGAATCTTTCCAGTGCATTGTTAAACTAGCTGAGGTCTATATCTCACTGATAACAGACAAGTTGCAATGATCAATACGGCAATTGTTCGTGTGTTAGAAATATGCTTCTGTTCCTTCTTTTCTTACAACAAGGGAAGTTGCACAAAGGAACAAGAGAAGGTTGCGGCTAATTGCTGATTCCACAATAACTTCTGCAATCACTTTTAGTGTCTAGATTTGAGCATTGCACTAAGGCGGCAAGGTGAAGTCTTCTCGATTTGTTAATTTAAAAACTTGATAAATAAAAATCAACAGGAAACTAATGTAAACAGGAAAAAAGTCTAAGAATCAAAATGCTGAAACAGTATCTGTTTTAATAAGTGTGTTTAAACTTTCTGGGCAAGCTTTTTAGATTATTCTGATAGCAACAATTCATTTTGACAGGTCAGGTTATAGTGGCTAGCTAACAGGAATTAGCTCATTCAAAATAAGCTATGATAGTATTGGTCATTGGGAGGTTAACCATCATGGTTGGATTTTCATCTGATTGACCAACTGGGAATAGTAAATCATTGTGATTTGAGATGAGAAGTAACTAGATAATCTGTAGTAGAGTGAAAGATAATCTTGTACTCTGCCAGAGGCTTTGTGTGCAACTTTTGGGCAATTCGCTTAATCTCTCTGCTTCAGGTTCTTTGTGAAATTGGCATATTTTCTCCCTATCATAAAGAAGCATTGTGAGGCTACATTCATGAATGAATGTTTACCACTCTGAGATTCTTGCATGGAAGGTGCTGTATAAGTGCAAGTATTATGGGGACTAAACCTTTGTGATGGGGCAAGTAAACCAGAAAAACATAATTGATGAAAGGGGGTTGTGGAAGCTCTTCCATATTTCATGCCTACGTATGACCTCAGCAACTAATTTGTTTTCTGTAACTCTCTTCTGAAGTCAAAATAAAACCTAAAAGAGACTTTGCTGCCTTTGAAGTGTGTAATGCCTGGGCTGGAGGAATAACGTGGTGGCCAGGTTTAGGAAGAGTCTAGTAAAGCAGACCTGATGAGGAGTTAGTTCATTGAGCAAACTGAAGGAGGAACCTGGTGAGGTGATTTGGGGAGAGATTCAACAGGGTGAGCTAAAGAAGGGGTACAGCTGATGGTCTGGAGGAAAGGCATATTGAGCAGGTTACTGGAAGAACACATCACCTGAGATGCACAAGGAAAATTTAAAGGAAGAGAAAAGGTGATGCACAGCTGTTAAAATGGAGGAAGGGTATAGCAAGTGAGCTGAAACAGAAGTGAGTCACCTAGACAGTTTGGGGAGAATTCCAGCTGCTGTGCTGGGGAAGATCTGTGATAGGAAAGGACACTGCAGGGTAGATTGGAGGAGGGATTTGAATGCATAGTCTAGGAACAAAAATAATTAGTGGTTCACTTGAACAGGAGATAGCGTGAGGTAGGCTGGGGGAGGATTTACTTACTGAACTGCTGAAAGACCCAACATGTTGGGCTAGAAAAGGAGCAAAGTTACTAGACTGGGCATGGGCATAGTGGTGTGGG